AACCCTTCCTCAGCCCTCTGGACAACAGTTTTGGTAATCCCGCACCTCCTCCTAACTTCCAAACTACGAATTCTCTGCATTATATTCACACCACACATTGCCCTCAGACATGACATCTCCACTGCCTCCAGCCTTCTCCTCGCTGCAACATTCATCACCACGCTTCACACCCATATAAGAGCGTTGGTAAAACTATACTCTCATACATTCCCCTCTTTGCCTCCAAGGACAAAGTTCTTTGTCTCCACAGACTCCTAAGTGCACCACTCACTCTTTTTCCCTCATCAATTCTATGATTCACCTCATCTTTCATAGACCCATCCGCTGACACGTCCACTCCCAAATATCTGAATACGTTCACCTCCTCCATACTCTCTCCCTCCAATCTGATATTCAATCTTTCATCACCTAATCTTTTTGTTATCCTCATAACCTTACTCTTTCCTGTATTCACCTTTAATTTTCTTCTTTTGCACACCCTACCAAATTCATCCATATATATATATATATACAGTGAACCCCCGGATAACGATATTATTTCAATCCAGAAGTCTGTTTGGGTGCCGTTATAGACCGAATTTGTTCCCATAAGAGATATTGTGAATTAGATTAGTCCGTTTCAGACCCCCACAAATACATACACCTACAAAAGCACTTACAAAAATACACTTACATAATTGGTTGAGTTGGGAGCTGATCGTTATGCGGGGGTCCACTGTATATATATACAGGTCTCCCTCAACATTCACGTTTTCAACTTTCACGGGCTTCACACATTCGCGAATTCCCAACCGCCAAATTCCCAGCCACCAAATTCCCAGCCGCCAAATCATATTTAAGTTTCCCGCCACCTGCGAGTCCCTGCTACCCTCCCTCCGACCCCTGCAACTGGCAGCCAGCCTTCCCACCACTCAGTGTGGTGAGTGTTTTGTTTGTTCATTATTTGCTATTAAACTACAGTATAAATAATGTAAACACATTCATGACTGCATATTGGAATGGCTATTAGGACAGGTATTAGACGGTGACATCATGTGTTTACTCTTGAACACTGCAAAGAATCGAACATTTCTGCTATTGCTAATAATAACAATTGTAATAATAATAATAATAATAATAATGATAATAGTAATAATAATAATAATAATAATAATAATAATAATAAATACGATATAATTGAAGAAGGAAATTGTACAAAAATACGAGGGAGTGGTTGACACATCGTCAGTGTGACTTTGTTTATGTTGGAGTGAACATTAGTCTCCCTGCTCTTCCAAACATTTCACAATAATTCATTGTGTTTGGTGCTTGTAGATTGAGTGTGACTGGAGTGGTAAAGGCAGTGATTGAGGCAATGGTATTTAATAACATATATGTTAATAATAATACATGTTATTAATAATATGTACTATTATTATTTATAACATGTTATTAAATACATACATGTTAATAATAATACATGTTATTAATAATAACATGTACTATTATTATTTATAACATATATGTTATTAAATACCACTGCCTCAACCGCTGAATTATTGTGAAATGTTTGGAAGAGCAGGGAGACTAATGTTCACTCCAGCATAAACAAAGTCACACTGACGATGTGTCAACCACTCCCTCGTATTTTTGTACAATTTCCTTCTTCAATTATATCGTATTTATTATTATTATTATTATTATTACTATTATCATCATTATTATTATTATTATTATTATTATTATTATTATTATTATTATTATTATTATTATTACTATTGTTATTAGTATTAGCAATAGCAGAAATGTTCGATTCTTTGCAGTGTTCAAGAGTAAACACATGATGTCACCGTCTAATACCTGTCCTAATAGCCATTCTAATATGCAGTCATGGATGGGTTTACATTATTTATACTGTGGTTTAATAGCAAATAATGAACAAACAAAACACTCACCACACTGAGTGGTGGGAGGGCTGGCTGCCAGTTGCGGGGGTCGGAGGGAGGGTAGTAGGGACTCGCATTGGTGGAGGCAGTGGTGGAGTCAAGATAAGATAAGATTTCATTCGGATTTTTAACCCCGGAGGGTTAGCCACCCAGGATAACCCAAGAAAGTCAGTGCGTCATCGAGGACTGTCTAACTTATTTCCATTGGGGTCCTTAATCTTGTCCCCCAGGATGCGACCCACACCAGTCGACTAACATACATGTTATTAACATACATGTTATTAAATAACATACGTTATTAAAGCATAACATGTATATATTTAGTACAATTTACGACGTTTTCATATATTTTATGATTATTCATGGTTCAACAAGTTAAGGAAGCAGTATTGTATTATATTTCCCTACAGTATATTGGGACACCAAACATTCATGGTTTTTCAACATTCACGAGGCTCTTGATCCCCTAACCCTCGCAAATGTTGAGGGAGACCTGTATATAAAATATACATACATACATTGGAACCACGGATTTCGTCCATAATTCATTCCAGAAGGTCGGTCTAAATCCGAAATGGATGAAAACCGAAGCAATATTTCCCATAAGAAATAATGTTAATACAATTAATTCGTTCCAGACACCCAAAAAATATTAACAAAAAAATACATTTTTAAACCCTTTCAGGGTCAAGAGGCCCCCTCTAAACTTTTTCTCAGGGTCGAAAATTTTTCATTATTTTTCTTATGAAAATATAGAGAATCTTTTCCCAATCATAATGACACCAAAAGTATGAAATTTGATGGAAAACTTACTGAATTATGCGAAGTTGGCGGTCTCGACGATGTTTATGCATTGGCGATTTCGCCCACTCTGAGCCCTATTTTTGGCCAATTCCAGTGTACTAGTCAACAAAAATCAGAACAATTTCACTAGAACTCCATTTTTTCTATCGAATAAGTACAAGAAACCACCCATTTACCGATTTTAACCCTTTGAGAGTTTCGGCCGTACTAGTACGGCTTACGACCCAGGGCTTTTGACGTACTAGTACGCCTAAATTCTAGCGCCCTCAAATCTAATGGGAGAAAGCTGGTAGGCATGCATATGAAAGAATGGGTCTATGTGGTCAGTGTGCACAGTATAAAAAAATCCTTCAGCACACAGTGCATAATGAGAAAAAAAAAACTTTGTGTTTTTGGAATAAAACAGTGACTTTGCACTGTATTTTCGTATGGTATTTATTGTTGTATTCTAGTTTTCTTGGTCTCGTTTTATAGAATGGAAGACATATTATGGAAATTGAGATGATTTTGACTGGTTTTACAATGAAAAGTACCTTGAAATTGAGCTCAAAGTAGCAGAAATGTTAAATTTTTACCAAAGTTCAAAAGTAAACAAATCATGCCAAGCGTCCAATACACGTGAACTGGTGAGTCTAATATTCTTTCACAAGTGCGCTGATATTATTTATACCATTTCTACACTAATGCAGCAGTCTGCATAACAGTAAATCTTCTATTTTTTGTAAGAATAAAAATTGAAAGTGGAAAGCCAAAGAAATATAAGAGGGGCCTGGGGATGTGACTAACGAACAGAGGAAATGTTATTTTAGTGCCAGGAATGTCTTTCTTGTTTATTCTGGACCCTATTCAGAAATTGGCATCTTTTGAAATTTGTGTGAAATTGGCAAAATTGCTAAATTCTGACCACTGTATTGGATAGTTGAAATCAGTAAATGGGTGGTTTCTTGTACTCATTCAATAGAAAAAATGGAGTTCTAGAGAAATAGTTATGATTTTTGTCAACTAGTACACTGGAATTGGACGAAAATAGGGTTCAAAGTGGGTAAACTCGCCGATGCGTAAACACAGTCGAGACCGCTAACTTCGCGAGAGCATAATTCCGTAAGTTTTCCATCAAATTTCATACTTTTGGTGTCATTATGATTGGGAAAAGATTCTCTATCTTTTCATAAGAAAAAATCTTTTTTTTTTTTTTTAAATTTGGCCGACCCTGAGAACAAGTCTCGGAGAGAGCCTGTCGACCCTCAAAGGGTTAATTATCCAATAAAGTGGTCAGAAATTAGCAATTTTGCCAATTTCACACATTTCAAAAGATGCCAATTTCCAAACAGGATTCAGAGTAAACAAGACAGGCATTCCTGGCACTAAAATAACATTTCCTCTGTTCATTAGTCACATCCCCAGCCCTCTCTTACATTTCTTTTGCTTTCCACTTTGAATTTTTATTCTCACAAAAAAATTGAAGATTTACTGTTATGCAGACCACTGCATTAGTGTAGAAATGGTATAAATAATATCAGCGCACTTGTAAAAGAATATTAGACTCGCCAGTTGACGTGTATTAGATGCATGGCATGATTTGTTTACTTTTGAACTTTGGCAAAAATCAAACATTTCTGCACTTTGAGCTCAATTTCATGGTACTTTTCATTGTGAAACAAATCAAAATCATCTCAATTTCTGTAATATTTCTTCCATTCTGTAAAATGAGACCAGGAAAGATAGAATACAACCATAAATACCATACGAAAATACAGTGCAAAGTCGCTGTTTTAAGCCAAAAACAGGGTCAAAGTTTTTTTTTTTCTCATTACACACACACTCACACACTACTCAGTCATAGAGTAGTCAGGCCGTGGAATAGCCTAGAAAGTGACGTAGTGGAGGCGAGAACCATACATAGTTTTAAGGCGAGGTATGATAAAGCTCATGGGGGCAGGGAGAGAGATGACCTAGTAGCAATCAGCGAAGAGGCGGGGCCAGGAGCTATGACTCGACCCCTGCAACCACAAATAGGTGAGTACACATAAAGCTCACAGTTCAGGGAGAGTGACCTAGTAGCGATCAGTGAAGAGGAGGGGCCAGGAGCTCGGACTCGACCCCTGCAACCTCAATGAGGTGAGTACAACTAGGTGAGTACGTACACACACACACACACACACACACACACACACACACACACACACACACACACACACACACACACACACACACACACACACACACTCACTCACTCACTCACACTTACTCACTCACATACATACATACATATTGTTTATGAACACCATTGCTTATTTTCTTTTTTAAAATTTCACTTTCCTGAACAGGCCACTGAGTGATCCGAGATGTATGAGTCACTGGGTCCAAGAGGGGGTGAAATGGATCCCCACAACAAGTGTATGGGAGGACGCATGTGGTGCGTCTCGGATATATGCGGCATTATTTGTGCCGTGATGACATGGCTACTAGTTACTTATGCTGAATTTGTGGTTTTTACAGTAACTCTGGGCACTGCAAATTATCCCATTTATACAACTTTCAATCTTCTACTTTTCAACATTTTTGCATTCCTTGCTCTATCTTCACATGCAAGGGCCATGTTTACTGATCCGGTAAGTTAGAAATTGAAAAGGAATTTTATGGTAAGTTGATTTGAGTATTTACCCAATATAGGTATAATGTAGATGGCATGGAAATGAATGGAAAATGATAGACAAGTAAAATTATATGATTATAAAATATAAATCAAGGTAAATTATGAAATACAGTTTATACAAATAAACAATATAATTCATGGAAGAACTTGTTACATAGATATATTACTTGTTTGCATAGACTTTAATTAGACATTTGAATAATGGGATTGACTTGAAATATTCAGACTGCACACTTTAAAGTGTGGACTAGGGAAGTATGGTTCAGTGTGTGATAATTTACAAAGGAAAATCTATGAAGGTCAGGGAAACCTGAAAGCCAATACTCACCCTTATTTTATATTATTTACCTGTCAGTTGTTGTTTGTAGTGACCTTGGGGGTGAACAGGAACATCAAGACTTGTACAGTATTAATGTTTTTTTCCTGTTCAATTTTTCCCTCATTTTCCCCATTAAGTATTCCTAGGTAAATTTTTAACTGTAGCAAACTGCTTTGACTGCTTTTATGTTTATATATGTATTAGTTTTTAAAAGCTGTTATTTCCTGTTGTCTGTCCTGCACTGCAATTTATTGAGCTTAAAAATGTTGCTTCTCCTTTTGGCATATTTTAATTTTTACCCATCACTGTACTGAAATTGGTTGTGTGTGAAGGGCAGAGGGTTTTTTCAAAGTTGTTTAAGAAAATTGTTTTTGTATACACATTAAATTATATAGAACTTGTGGGTTGCCTCTTCTTGTCTCTACCTAGTGACTGATTTAGTAGTTCTCTCCTGTATTTTTGTTAAGTAACGTAACAGACTGATCTATTAAAAATATATTAGTTATTACCTTGCATAATTTACCAGAAAGATGTATTGGTAACTTATACTGTTATTGTTGCTTTAATATTATTAATCCAAGGATTTTTTTGTTTTGTTTTGAGCAGGGTGCTGTACCAAAAGGTAATGCTACAAGGGAAAACATTCAGCGAATGGGGCTTCGGGAAGGCCAAGTGATTTTCAAATGCCCAAAATGCTGTAGCATTAAGCCTGAGCGAGCCCACCACTGTTCTGTGTGCCAGCGGTGTATCCGTAAAATGGATCACCATTGTCCCTGGGTCAACAACTGTGTTGGAGAAAACAATCAGAAGTTTTTTGTGCTCTTCACAGTAGGTCATACATAAGTCTGAATAGGTTGAGTTTACTCATATTCTTGTTGTAACATTAATATATGACAATATCTCTTAAGTTTTAAGTGATTTTACTTATTCAATAGAGAAATCAACTAGGTTATATTAATTTTTTTTTTTAAATTCATCAGCTTTTCTTCTATTTTCCAATATTCTTGGCATTTAATAATAAATTTATTTTTATTGTTGACCTACATCATATCTTGGTAAACTTGATGCATTGCTTTATACTGTCAACTGTAAAATTGTTTTCCTGAATTTATGTTTTAAATCTGATGTTTATCAAATGTAACAATTCACAATTACCTTTTTTTTTTTGTGAATAGTCAAGTATCTTTTATATCCATGTGCATATGAAGTAAATCAGAAATTATTTTCACTATAAATTAAGGGCCTATAAATAGAGTAAACAATATCTTCATTTTAATGTGTTTGCCTTTACATTAAAAAGATATTGATATTTATGATTACTTAAAATGTAAAGACTGTTTAAACCATTTTCAATTTGTTTTGCTTTGAAGTTAAAATGGCATTACCTTCCCCAGTTCTACATTGCTCTGCTGAGCCTCCATGGTCTCTTCCTGGGCATTTACCAGTTCGTAATCTGCGTCAAGAGTGAGTGGCGTGAATGCTCCTCATTCTCCCCTCCTGCAACAGTTGTCCTCTTGCTGTTCCTAATTTTTGAGAGTTTGCTTTTTGCTATTTTTACTGCAGTAATGTTTTTCACGCAAGTTAATGCTATCTGGAATGATGAAACGGTGAGTGAAACTATGTACTGTAGTTACTAAACTTCCTCCACCTCCTATGTTTTAACCCATGGGGTAGATTATAATATATATATATAATTAGAGTATACAGTGGAACCTCAGTATGCAACCTTAATTCATTCCAGAAGGCTGTTCGAGTGCCGCTCCGTTTGAGCATTGAACAAGTTCTTCCCAACCAATTTTCTGTTTGGTTGGCTGTTATCACTAATTGTCATAGGACCCACGGTGACTTATTTATACAAATAATACAAAAAAAAATGCAAAGAAACACTAAATAGTTTACAGTGAAGTTCTGGCAGGTTGTATTTGTTGGGTTGAGTGCTGAGCTTTGTTCGAGTAGGGAGCTGGTCGTATACTGAGGTTCCACTGTAGTTTTTTGGGGGAAAATGATTGACATTTATATTGTAGTAAATGCATATACAATTGCTTATTCTTTTTCCATTTTTTTTCTATTTTTACAAAAGCTGCATCTGCAGCCATAGGCATGAGCAGAAAAATATACTGTATTGCCAGTGAGCCAGACTGTATGCTGAAAAATGAGATGTTTTCTTTTTCCAGCACTACATTTATCATTATCAAGTTAATAATCACATCTTATTTATCAGTCTTCTCCATTCCTCTTCCATACAGTTGTATATGGGTATGTGAATTTCACGTGCTTAATTAAAAGAGCCTTTTGTGAGTGATAGGTAATATTTTAATGGTCAGCTCATGATTATTTTCATGGGAGAATAGAGACTTGGTTATACAGCACATTGGGAATGAGAGGCATGAGGGGGTAATCAAGTTTGATCTGAATTAAAATCCCTTCCATGGTATCAAGGTGCCATCCGAAAAGGTTTAATTAAAAGAAACCTTTGTAACAACTAGCAAGGTAACATTATTGATTATCAAGTAAGAAATACAGAAATCTTCTTTCTAGAAACTGGCCGCATCCCACTGAGGTACGGTGGCCCAACAAGAAAAACAAAAGATTCCCTTTTTAAATTTAGTAATGTATACAGGAGAAAGGTTTACTAGCCCCTTGCTCCCAGCATTTTAGTCATCTCTTACGATATACATGGCTTAGGGAGGAAGAATTGACTCAAGAAATCGTAATGACACGATTGCAAATAAACCATACCGCGGGTTCAATCCCGGCCGGGGGTATGGTTTTTTTGAGGAAGAATTCTGTTCCACTTCCCCATAGAGACGAAATAAACAAGAACTAGTAGGGAAATAGAAGGAAACCCAGAGGGGTATGTATATATATGCTTGTACATGCATGTGTAATGTGACCTAAGTGTAAGTAGAAGTAGCAAGACATACATGAAATCTTGCATGAAAATACAGAAATAACAAAAACAAATAGAAATAAAATGGTTTTGTTACCACTGTCATATTCTGGTAAGCTGATAGTGTATTCTCATGTTTTTTAATTTTAGTGCTTATAATGCTGAATATAACTTTAGAATATAGATTTTTGCTGACACTTACCATTGTTTTCATTTTGAATTGAATTGATCTTTCAAATAATTAGTAATCATGCTGAGTAACGTACAGGAGGGCCCCGCTTTACGGCACGTCGCTTTACAGCATTTTGCTAATACAGTGGACCCCCGCATAACGATTACCTCCGAATGCGACCAATTATGTAAGTGTATTTATGTAAGTGCGTTTGTACGTGTATGTTTGGGGGTCTGAAATGGACTAATCTACTTCACAATATTTCTTATGGGAACAAATTCGGTCAGTACTGGCACCTGAACATACTTCTGGAGTGAAAAAATATCGTTAACCGGGGGTCCACTGTACAGCGCTTTTCATTTATACCCATTCTTCGTTTATTCAATATTCTTTCTTTCTTTCAACACACCGGCCGCATCCCACCGAGGCGGGGTGGCCCAAAAGGAAAAACGAAAGTTTCTCCTTTTACATTTAGTAATATATACAGGAGAAGGGGTTACTAGCTCCTTGCTCCCGGCATTTTAGTCGCCTCTTACAACACGCATGGCTTACGGAGGAAGAATTCTGTTCCACTTCCCCATGGAGTTTATTCAATATGCATACAATAAATATATTCACCACTCACTATAAGCTAAGTATGAAAATATTTTAAGGTATACACAGTTACATACAGTGTTGCCACATGGTAACTATGATAGGTCAGCACATACAATGTTCCCACATGGTAGCTATAGTAGGTCAATGCATACAGTGTTTTCACATGGTAGATATGGTAGGTCAACACACACAGTGTTCCCACATAGTACTTATAGCAGGTCAACAAACACTGCTACATATGTTCATTTCAAAATTTTGCATGACCTGCCATAAATGACCTTTTGGTCAAAGTTCCGTGACCTGTATATATGGAACCATTTGAGCTATAAACTTGGGGGGAAAAAAAATCTCATTTTCTCACTGAAAGTTATGAGTGTGCCAATTCTGAAGAAAATCGGAGAGGTGCCATGAAAAAATTGCAAAATTTTGGTTGAACCAACATGGAATGTCTCGTGTATTTTTTAGGCTTAGCTCTATTGCTCAATTAACCCTTTCAGGGTCGGCAGGCCCTCTCCTAAACTTGTTCTCAGTGTCGGAAATTTTTCGAAAAAAAAAAAAAAATTCTTATGAAATGATAGAGAATCTTTTTCCGATCATAATACACCAAAAGTATAAAATTTGATGGAAAACTTACGGAATTACGCTGTTGCGAAGTTAGCAGTCTTGCCGATGTTTATGCATCGGCGATTTCGCCCACTTTGAGCCCTATTTTCGGCCAACTCCAATGTACCAGTCGACAAAAATAGTAACTATTTTGCTAGAACTCCATTTTATCTATCGAATGAGTACAAGAACCCACCCATTTACAGATTTCAACTATCCAATAAAGTGGTCAGAAATTGGCAATTTTGCCAATTTCACACAAATTTCAAAAGATGCCAATTTCCAAATAGGGCCCAGAATAAACAAGACAGACATTCCTGGCACTAAAATAACATTTTCTCTCTTCATTAGTCACATTCCCAGGCCTCTGTTACATTTCTTTTGCTTTCCACTTTGAATTTTTATTCTCACATAAAATAGAAGATTTACTGTTATGCAGACTACTGCATTAGTGTAGAAATGGTATAAATAATATCAGCGCACTTGTGAAAGAATATTAGACTCACCAGTTGACATGTACTGGATGTGTGGCATGATTTGTTTACTTTTGAACTTTGGCAAAAATCGAACATTTTCGCTACATTGAGCTCAATTGCAAGGTACTTTTTGTTGTGAAACCAATCAAAATCATGTCCGTTTTTGTAGTATATCTTCCATTCTATCAAATGAGACCAAAAAAAACAAGAATACAACCATAAAAACATACAAAAATACACCGCAAATTCATTGCTTTACACCATGGTCATTGTTTTTTCTCATGCACTGTGTGCTGCACGATTTTTTTTTTATATAGTGCACACTTATCACACAGACCTTTTCTCTCATATGTAGGCCCAAATTTACTGGTCACAACTCATCTGAGTGAGCTGAGCTCATGGCGGCCAACACTGGCTTCACAGCCACCTTATCTTTTATGGACGTTGTACGGCGTATGTGCTTTACACAACGAGAAGCCTTTCTTTTATTCATTGGAACCATGGCTAGGGCTAAAAGTGAGCAGGTTATAACAATAAATGGAGAAAAAGAAATTGGAATGACTCTTTCAGCAAGTAGTGCCACCAAACAGGAGCGGCAGGTTTATGTGGCAACCCCGGAATTTTGAAATTATGCTAGCCGAAATTAGTGCTGGATTACTGATGGAACCAGATTACTGATTGCCGGACTAGTGATGGCCGACCTGTATATAATAGCGTAAACATGTTATCAGGCTTTTATATGCATTTGAAAGTGAAAAAAAAAAGCTGTTTCACTTTACAACAATTTTCATTTTTGCAGCAGTAGCCTGGAACCTAACTTGCTGTATAAGTAGGGTGCTCCTGTATAAAATAATCATAAAATAAGATACTCTTAACTCAGTATTATTATTACTATTGTTAATCTTAATCTTATTGTTATTATTATTTTTATTGATATTTTGTTTTTATTATTTTTATTTTTATTATTTTCACAGGGTATTGAGCAATTGAAGAAAGAGCAGGCCAGTTGGGAGAAAAAGTCACGATGGCGAAGCATCCAAGCAGTATTTGGTCGATTTTCTCTCACATGGTTCAGCCCATTCACAACGCCACCTCTGCCAACAAAAACTCACTCTTACATGTATGCAGTATAGCTTCTTTATAGTTGCTGTCAATAACTCCATGAGGTTACAGAGAATAATCATCGAGTCATGAGTCAAATTTGGGTGCTTGACAAAGTCGGGTCATAGCTTCATCATACTTGCTCAGACGTATACTATGGTATGTTCGTTGGTCCTATGGTCACCCAGAAAATCATGCTCTATATTATGAGCAGAGGTAACAAGTCATCGTCATGTCGATGTGTAAAAGATTGTGACATCCTTAGGGCATATGAATCCCTTAGTTGAAATCGTCGATATTGAGTGTGGTGGGGCAAGTGTTATGCTTTGATGGTGTAGACAGTCACAGTCCTGATGAATATTGCAACCATACTCAAATCACATTTGAAGTACTTAACTAAAATGTGGTCGGATTTTATTCTTTCTTGTCGTGTCATGATGTGTGTATAAATACAGTAGGGCCCCAACTTATGATAATATTTTCCTGAAACTTCAAGTGTTGGGTACTCAGAACCTATTTTCCTATAGATATCCATGGTATAATCAGAGATGTGTTTCCGAGCCATAATGTTCCTCATTTAATTTCCTTTATTTCTTTTAACTAAGAATATATATCCCATGTAATTTACTTTCAGTTCTATTCATTTTCACTTACAAATGGTATTAAACATTAATTAATTTATAAATGTTAATTAAATAGAGCAGCAATACAGTAAACCTGACAGTACATATGTGTAGGGGCAGTAAGCAACAGCTGAAATGTCTAAGAGGGAGGGGAAGACAGAAGGATGAGGTTAGGGTAGTGGAAGGGGGGATGGGGGATGGGAGGGGATAGGACCAAAGAGGGGAGGGAATGAGTAATAGATATACAGTGGAACCTCAAATTTCGAACGTATCGCTTATCAAACTCTTCGAAAATAGAACCCTTTTTTCGAACCAACTTTGTCCCTATTATTGAACTCGCCCCTATTTTCAAACCGCTGGGTACCGGACCTGTCCGGCAGCCCGCTCTGTCTGCGTCCCCACGCAGGTGTCATGAGCCAGTCTGGTTTTGTTGATGCTTGAGTGAACACTAACCTGCTCTCTCATTCAAACATTTTATGATTATTTCATTGTTTTTAGTGCTTGTGGAACTGTGAAATAAGCTACAATGTGCCCAAAGAAACTTGCTAGTGGTATCCCTGTGGTAAGAAAGTGAGAAACACCATAGATGTGAAGAAGGAAATAATACAGAAGTGGAATGATGTCCAAATGTTTGTGGAGAAGTACCACCCTGAGCATGCTGAAACAAGCCATCTTTGCAACAAGTTCAGTGACAGAACCATATTCCATTTTAGGGAAATCTTAAAGAGGCACCAGAAACAGAGGACTGTGGAAAGTTATTTTGTGAGACAGGGGTCCAGTGACTCTCAAGCTGGTCCTAGTGGCATTAAAAGACAGAAGGGCAGTAATCCCAGAGAGGACTTTGGTACCTGAAGTCCTCATGGAGGGGGATTCTCCTTCCAAACACTAACCCCAACTCCCTCTCTCCTCCTCCCTATCTTCCAGTTGCCATCACCAATCTTCAGTAAAGGTAAGTAAAATGTTATTTTGTATGTTTATTTAAATTTATTAATACATAATCAAACACTATATTTGTTGTGTGTATGTAAAACTATAATCTCTATAAAATTATTTTTTTTGTGAATATTTTTGGGTTTCTGGAACGGATTAATTTTATTTCCATTATTTCTTATGGGAAATATTGCTTTGCTTTTCAGACTTTTTGAATTTAGAACTAACTCCTGGAACGGATTAAGTTCGATATTTCAGGTTCCACTGTATAGGGTGGGAAGATATTAGTGAGTGTTTGAGGCAGGGTGTGGCATGAAGGTTTGTGCCTCTTCCACTGAACATCCCAAGTATGTGAAAGCAGTTTGGAGCTCCCATAGCCTAACCAAACCCATAAGATAATCATGAATATTAAATCTGTGACTATTAATCTCTGACATAAGAGCTCTCCATTTGTTTTTTCTTTTTCCCCTTCAACAGCCATCTGCCAAGGCAGGATGACCCAAAGAGGAAAACACACTCACCATCATTTATTCAATCACTGTCTTGCCAGAAGTGCATTGACATCACAATTCAGAGTTCCCTCCGACTGCACCATCCCCACTTCCCCTTCAGAGTGCAGGTACTTCCCTTCTTACATCCATGACTCAAGTCTGGCTAACTGGTGTCCCTGAATCTCTTTATTAAAATTACCTTGCTGACAGCAACAGCACATCCATTAAAAGCCACTTGTTCCCATGCACTTCTATTAAACACACTCACACAAGCCCACTGGTTTCTCAAGGCCCTAAAACTCAAAGGCTATTTTACCCCCTCCCTCCCATTCCTAGGATGACCTCTACCCATCCTATATTCTTTCCCAGGTTAATGCATCCTCTTTGTCATCCTGTCTCTTTCCATCCTCTGTGTGCCCAAACCTCCTCAACACTCCCTCCTCTGCCGTTTGAATTATTCCCTTGGTGACCCCTCTCCATCTTTTTAATCTCCATGCTCCGAATTCTCTGGATTATAGTCACACCACACAACACTCTCAAACACGACGTCTCCACTGCCTCTAGCCTCCTTGCTGCAGCATTCAAAACCTGTGCTTCATACCCATATATCAGTGTTGGTCCCACTATACTCTGGTTCATTATCTCTTTTACCTCCATATTTGAACTTTGCACAGATGCCTCAACACACCCACCTTTTTTTCTCTTCATCTTCTTTTATGGAATCATCATCTGACATGTCCACTCTCAAATATCTGAATATATCCATCTCTTTCATAGTCTCTCCAGTCTTATATTCACTTTTATCATCACCTGAACTTTGTATTACCCTCGTCACAGTGCTCTTTTCTATGTTTATTTTTAATTTCCCTCTTTACAAACCCTCCTAAATTTGTCTACCAATCTTTGCAGTATATCCTCAGAATCCCCAGAAGAACAGTGCCATCATCGAAGAGCAACTGTGACAACTCCCACCTTGTACCAGCGCCAAGATCTTTTAATCCCACTCCCTTTCCCAGTACTGTACATTAGCATTCACTTCTTTTTAAACTCCATCTATAAATATGTTATACAACATTTACAAATTCTGCCACGTGAATCTCCTATCCACTCATTCATATGCCTTTTTTAAATCCATAAATGCAAAAAAACAGCTCTTTACTTTTATGTACTCCTCACTTATATGATTCTCCATAAACTCTCGTTCTACCTTCAGTGTAAACACCTGTTCTACACATGCTCCTCTGCAATCTTGTGTCCTATCTTACCACTAACCATTTCATTAATAATTCTACTGTAAACTTCACCTGGTATACTCAAGAGTCTTAGCCCCTTCTAATTCTTACATTTTCTCTTGTCCCCTTTTCCTTTATAAAAGGAAACTATGCATGCTTTTAAAATGCCAGTCCTCTATATATATATATATATTTTTTTTTTTTTTTTTTTTCAACAAGTCGGCCGTCTCCCACTGAGGCAGGGTGACCCAAAAAAGAAAAAAAATCCCCAAAAAGAAAATACTTTCATCATCATTCAACACTTTCACCACACTCGCACATTATCACTGTTTTTGCAGAGGTGCTCAGAATACAACAGTTTAGAAGCATACACATATAAAGATACACAACATATCTCTCCAAACTGCCAATATCCCAAACCCCTCCTTTAAAGTGCAGGCATTGTACTTCCCATTTCCAGGACTCAAGTCCGACTATATGAAAATAACTGGTTTCCCTGAATTTTTTTATTTTTTTTATTATTATCACACCGGCCGATTCCCACCAAGGCAGGGTGGCCCGAAAAAGAAAAACTTTCACCATCATTCACTCCATCACTGTCTTGCCAGAAGGGTGCTTTACACTACAGTTTTTAAACTGCAACATTAACACCCCTCCTTCAGAGTGCAGGCACTGTACTTCCCATCTCCAGGACTCAAGTCCGGCCTGCCGGTTTCCCTGAATCCCTTCATAAATGTTACTTTGCTCACACTCCAACAGCACGTCAAGTATTAAAAACCATTTGTCTCCATTCACTCCTATCAAACACGCTAAATATTACCCTGCTCACACTCCAACAGATTGTCAGGTCCCAATTACCATTCGTCTCCATTCACTCCTATCTAACACGCTCACACACGCTTGCTGGAACTCCAAGCCCCTTGCCCACAAAACCTCCTTTACCCTATATATAATAATATATATATGTATATATATATATATTATATATATATATATATATATATATATATACAGTGGACCCCCGGTTAACGAACTTTTTTCATTCCAGTAGTATGTTCAGGTGCCAGTACTGACCGAATTTTTTCCCATAAGGAATATTGTGAAGTAGATTAGTCCATTTCAGACCCCCAAACATACACGTACAAACGCACTTACATAAATACACTTACATAATTGGTCGCATTTGGAGGTGATCGTTAAGCGGGGGTCCACTGTATATATATATATATATATATATATATATATATATATATATATATATATATATATATATATATATTTTTTTTTTTTTTTTTTTTTTTTCAACAAGTCGGCCGTCTCCCACCGAGGCAGGGTGACCCAAAAAAGAAAGAAAATCCCCAAAAAGAAAATACTTTCATCATCATTCAACACTTTCACCACACTCGCACATTATCACTGTTTTTGCAGAGGTGCTCAGAATACAACAGTCTAGAAGCATAAACATATAAAGATACACAACATATCCCTCCAAACTGCCAATATCCCAAACCCCTCCTTTAAAGTGCAGGCATTGTACTTCCCATTTCCAGGACTCAAGTCCGACTATATGAAAATAACCGGTTTCCCTGAATCCCTTCACTAAATATTACCCTGCTCACACTCCAACAGATCGTCAGGTCCCAAGTACCATTCGTCTCCATTCACTCCTATCTAACACGCTCACGCACGCTTGCTGGAAGTCCAAGCCCCTTACCCACAAAACCTCCTTTACCCCCTCTCTCCAACCCTTTCGAGGACGACCCCTACCCCGCCTTCCTTCCCCTATAGATTTATATGCTTTCCATGTCATTCTACTGTGATCCATTCTCTCTAAATGACCAAACCACCTCAACAACCCCTCTTCTGCCCTCTGACTAATACTTTTATTAACTCCACACCTTCTCCTAATTTCCACACTCCGAATTTTCTGCATAATATTTACACCACACATTGCCCTTAAACAGGACATCTCCGCTGCCTCCAACCGTCTCCTCGCTGCTGCATTTACCACCAAGCTTCACACCCATATAAGAGTGTTGGTACTACTATACTTTCATACATTCCCTTCTTTGCCTCCATAGATAACGTTTTTTGACTCCACATATACCTCAACGCACCACTCACCTTTTTTCCCTCATCAATTCTATGATTAACCTCATCCTTCATAAATCCATCCGCCGACACGTCAACTCCCAAGTATCTGAAAACATTCACTTCTTCCATACTCCTCCTCCCCAATTTGATATCCCAATTTTTCTTTATCTAAATCATTTGACACCCTCATCACCTTACTCTTTTCTATGTTCACTTTCAACTTTCTACCTTTACACACATTCCCAAACTCATCCACTAACCTTTGCAATTTTCTTTAGAATCTCCCATAAGCACAGTATCATCAGCAAAAAGTAACTGTGTCAATTCCCATTTTGAATTTGATTCCCCATAATTTAATCCCACCCCTCTCCCAAACACCCTAGCATTTACTTCCTTTACAACCCCATCTATAAATATATTAAACAACCATGGTGACATTACACATCCCTGTCTAAGACCTATTTTTACCGGGAAGTAGTCTCCCTCTCTTCTACACACCCTAACCTGAGCCTCACTATCCTCATAAAAACTCTTTACAGCATTTAATAACTTACCACCTATTCCATATACTTGCAACATCTGCCACATTGCTCCTCTATCCACTCTATCATATGCCTTTTCTAAATCCATAAATGCAATAAAAACTTCCCTATCTTTATCTAAATACTGTTCACATATATGCTTCAATGTAAACACCTGATCTACACATCCCTACCCACTCTAAAACCTCCTTGCTCATCCGCAATCCTACATTCTGTCTTATATATATATATATATATATATATATATATATATATATATATATATATAATTTATTATATAAATAAAGTGAGCACACACAAAGTATGAATGCATGTGCTAAAAGTCTAACAAAGGAAAAAGTATAATTCAGTCATAAAAAAATTAAATATTAAATTATGGTTCTTGACCATAATTTAATATTTAAAAAAGTGAGCCCTATTTTTAAATGCATAAAATAAACATACATAAAGTATTAATTCACCTGATAAAAACAGTGAGAAAAATTATCTATTTAAAATAATTTGGTTGATTATTTGTAATGATCATAAATGCAGAACAATGTTCATTAGTAATTAATTGGTTACAAAGTGCCAATGTCATAATTAGTGCAAAACATCATAAGTTGGGACCCCTACTGTATATATTATCAGGTAAAATTGGTAATTTTATAAATTTGTAGTATTTTGGCTCTTCCAGAAGTCCTCAGAACTAAAGACTAGTATCATTCATAGTCAGCTAATGTTGTACATATATGTCTCACTGTTGTTTTATCTTTTTTTTTAAATTCTTATTGAAGTTTGAATTTATATATTTTGTATTATCTTGTATCCAAATTATAACTTTACATTTTCATACAAATATTAAATATGTATAAGCCATTGTTTAAACCCTCCTTTGAAGGATATTCTTTATTCTTTGTAATGGTTGTGTGACAGAACCAAAGAAGCTGTTGACCTACAGTATTGGCTCTGATGATGGTGGGCAGTAGTGTATTAGCATATCTCTTTTGGCTTGTGTTTTATATTTGTCTGAAAATTTAAATGCTAGGGATGTAAATGCAGGAACATAATTGTATTATCCCAAAAACAGCAAAGATTATGTTCGGAAGATGCATTCAAGTTTTATAACTATATACAGGTGGAATGTTACTAAATGATACATATGAAGCAGTGTTCACTGCTGATTTGTATTGTAATGCCTTCTCAAAAGGTATCGATAAACCTTTTATTTTTAAAAGAACTAAAGCCTTAGAGCGTAACTGAATGTGTGGGGAAAAAGCT